CATGCATCCATGCATCCATGCATCCATCCATCCTCTCCCTAATACCATTCCTGACCCCTCAGTAATAGTAGCTGCTGGGTTGTAGCATTTACTATATGTCAAAAATGACAAGCTCTTATGTGCATATAAGACAGTCGTGTGGCAGCCCCTGAGGCCTCGGACATTACACCGGATGCCACTAGTGCTGCACTTGTTTTACAGGGCAGAGAGCTGAGGTCTGTAACCACATAGGGATTCTACAGCAGTGGACACTAAGACCCATGTCACACAAAGCTTGCAAACAGGGATAGGGCACTGTGCTGGGTAGCCAGCCATCATGCATACCAGTAGATAATGCGCCTCCTGGACTGTTCACAGTCCTGATATAGAGCACAGAGGTCATCCAGCCACAGGGCCCCAGGCCCTTACAAAGTGTATTCTTACTGGAACAGTTTTGGGAGGGACAGTGGAGGGGAAGGGAGAGGCCTTCTGTTAATTCAGCACATGGTTTACCTAGCTCCACACAATGGTGGTAATTAGAACCCATTACAGGCATAAAACACCACAGTGAGCCAGCCCTGTGAAAATGGGTCAAGAATTACTTTAAAAGCCTTATCTGGACTCTTCTTTCAAAAGCTCTGCCAGCTATACTAGGCTTGTTCACAAAGAGCTGCTATTGATTTCTAAGGATCCTGGGATGGTTGTCAGCTCTGCAGGGCCTCACCTCCTTCCCAGCACAGAAAGCCTCTTCTAGCCTGAGGAGCAGGTGGGTCAGGAGGAGGAAGGGGAGAAGGCAGGGCTGCCATCAATAGCAGATGCTTCCTGGGTATGTCTCAGCTGGACCCAGTCCTTTAACTGGCTCATCCCCTCGGCAGCTAACAGGCCCACTGGCATTTAGCTCATCTTAAAGACTCCTTCACTCCACAAATACATACTGACCCTCCTTCAGGCTCTGTTAAAAGTACCCAGCTCGACACTCGGAGTCGGAGGGTGCTAAGATGCTTGTCCAGGTTTAGTCTGGCAGTGGGTGGGGGAGAGAAGCAGACCTGAGAGAGATCGAGGGCTTTGGTCCTACAGAACCAGGGTACTGCTGGGTAACATTTATGGGTTTCTGTTTGAAGGATAGCAACGGCTGGCATTTATGAAGTACCTCCCAACTGTACCCTTCTGAAACATTAACCTTTCAAGCCTTCTGAAACTTGTGTTATTATTTTCCCTGTTTCACAAACAAGACTAAACCCGACTGAGGAGAAAGTAAGCTGCCCAAGGTTGCAGCAAGCCAGAGGAGAGGACAGGGTGGGTCTAGCTGGACCTGCGGAATGGTGTTGTGAGCCATCCTGGTAGTCTGAGATGATGGTCCTTTGCCTAAAGCAGATCCATGCAGCTATATGGAGCCTCCTTCATTCTCTTGAGGCAAAAGGCCCTGAGCTCAGCACAGGGTTGTAGCTCCTGGGTGATTTGGCTTTCTTTCTCTTGATCAGCTTCTCAGAAACCATGAGGAAAGTATCAGTCTTACCTGCTATTTTGATGTTGTTTCTGGATGCTTGGACTTTGCATACCACCAGGCATGGATGTCCTCTGGGCTGAAAGAGAGGCTGCTTGTCACCTTTTCATGAGGCTGGCTTATGGATTTCCCATAAGGCTGTACCAAGAAGAGTGAAGGTCAACACTGGGGACCTTGTGGCAGTAGTTCAGACAGGTAGTGACACTTACTGACACCTGTGTCCTAGAGGTCTCTGTCAGGTAAACCATATAGCTCATACCAGGTCCCTCCCATTTCAATTGGGGTTTAAGGAGAGATAAATCTGCATTTCTCAGGATGGAACCTACCAAGTATCCATGATCAACTTGGTCATGGGCTGTTAGTCCATACAATGAAAGACAAGCCTGCATTCCTTACCACAAAAGGGGTTAGACTTCAACTATTTATGCAGCACTCACTGCAAAGGCTACCAAGGCATGGGTTCAAATCTCTGCCCTGCCCCGTCTGATCCTGACACTGAGGTGTATCACATTGCAGTGGTCTTTTCTGTAAGGAATGGTTGTCTACCCTGTAGGAAGGGGCACTAAGTGCCTAAAGCCTCCTAGAGGCTAAAATACAGATCTGCCGGGGCAGCGGGCACAGGCTAGGTTTAACTAGGTTGGTACCATGTGCGTTTTCCCAACAGCTACTGCAGACAGGACCAGAAGATACAGCATGTGAAGTTCACTTCAGATGGATCCTGAGGCATCTGAGACGTGCTTCTGGTTGTCACTAGAAGAACTTGAGTTGCTACTAAAATTTGGTGCTTGTCTCAGTCTTAACCAAGAAGTGTCTGTTTTGCTACTTGAAGGAGGGTGAGGCAGTTCCTTGAATGTGACAAGACAGAGAACATCATGGTATGAAAGGGAATGCCAGAGGCTTTTCTTACAGTCATAATCCTTTGTGGTTTGTCAGGTAATTATGGTGCCTCTGGATCCTCACAGATTTAAAAGTTCCCTCAGCCCTGTTGTATTTGAAGATCATTGTCTTTGATGCTCCAACTTGAAGGGAACACTCAGCCTCCTGCAGCTCTGAAAGTGGTATCTTCCAAGCTCCCCCTTTCCTCCAGACTACAGTCATGATTCAGCTGACCAAGCACCCAGGAGACAGTTGTGTCACTCCTGCATGTACGTGCTCCAGCACTTACTGCCTTGCCAGCATGTGCTTAACAACATGGCAGTCCCACTGTGAGGGATAGTGAGCTTCTAGACTACAGTTCTGGTTCCTTCTGTGGCACTTTTCCATTTGACATCACTAACTCCTTCTCCATGTCTCTTGACTTATTATACAGAAGGCATTTACCTTGTACTGGGCATTTACCTTGCTCCAAAAATGCTGCCATGCCTGTGAACAGGTGTCTTCTCACACCAGCACTGTGGGCCAGTTAGGTGATAGTCTGAGTTTCCATTTTGTGATGATTAGCCTCAGGTGCATAGGCCATTCTACTTGTCTGTGGGGTGACTTCCTATGTCTATGCATGGCCATGGAGTAGAGAGGACTGCCAGGGCCTAGTGTTATCAGTAAGGGACCAAGAGTGAGAAATGGAGAGAAAGAGAGAACGTGGATTTTATCCTGGGCCTAGTAGACACATTGTGGGTATCAAACAGCAGGTAAGGGTATGTGATGGAACTGTTAGCCTTAGTGGAGCAGGTGGGAGGGTATGTGTTCTCCTAAATCCAGTCTTGTAGTTCCAGTGTGTTGTGGTAGATATGGTGCTGTCTGCTAACCACACTTTCAGGTGACTTTAGGGCTGCTTTAAGTTCTATGATCGTTTGTGACTTACATTCCTTTTCTGAGGTTCTCTAAGTCCCCAGAAGTTGCTTCTAGTTGTGTTTGGTTTGGAAATAGTTATTTGAAAAATAGTAAGTTCTCGTGGCTTAGGTCAGTGTAAGCTGTTTATCTGACTGGTTATATGTAAGAATATGCTCTATAAAAACTCGAAGTGAGACAGAAAGCTTGCCTTCACAGATTAGCCTTGTAACAACGCACATCATAGCTTGATGGTGAAATTATTCCAATCAAGTTTTCTCTCTTCAGTTCCACGGGCTCCTCACCCCGCCATTCCTCAGTTAAGACCAAGCTTTGTCTGTTACAGACCACTGTTGTGTCTGCAAAAGGGAGCCAGGGTTTGTCAGCTCACAGTGAATGCTCTGGAGCCCTGTATGGTTTGATGTTGGAAGCTTTTATGGAAAATTGCTGCAGCGCTCTGACTCCCACAACACCCTAGGAAATGATAGTTTCCTATCTGAAACGCACATATTAGCAAGTCTGTCAGCAGTGGTGCAGCAGCTGTGAACTTCCTGCACAACTTGACATCAAGCCCCAGGAGATCACATGACTTCCATGTGGACAGTCTACAGGCATATTGTGATATTATGTGCGTTTCACATGAGAGTAACTTAAGCTTTTGTGAAGAATTAGGCAAGTGGGGAAAATAACTTTCTGTAAGCAAAGAGATGCTGAGAGTCACTGACTTCTCCACCTCTGCTTTGCTCACTACATTGCTTGAAGGCATCCTTGATGCCATCTGCACTTAGTGTTTCATATTCATGGTGAGGTTGGCATGTCGGGGACATTGGATGCACATTGGATCCACAGAGAAAGCAGATAGAAGCAAAAGTGAGCAGACTGTGTTCTCTGTTCTATGTACAGAAGTGTCAAAGAGATAGTACTGAAACCCCATCATGGAAGTGTTTCCTTCTGCATATTTGTCTTTGTAATAAAAAAAAAGGGGGGCGCTCCCTTTTTCTCTTTGATGTGAGATTCGCGTCATCTCTTTACTGCCCCCCCCATGTCCCTCCTCTGGCAGTATGCATATTTTATGTATCATGTTAAATGCCTCTGATAAATAGCCTGGCATCATTGTGTGTATCCCAACATGTAGTAAATGCTGTGTGAATCCAGGTATGGGAGGAGTCTGTTAGCAATCAGTGGTCAAGCCAAGTGAAGCTGCTTGCACAGGAGTCTTCCTGAAGGGTTTAGGAACAGCATTTTAGAACACTCTCTCATGGCTCACCAAACTGCAGAAGTCATACTTGCGTGGCCTTTCATTGACTACAAACTACCTTATAGCACCCCATCTTTGTTTCTTTGGAAACCAGCCAAACATGTTGAATAATTGAGTTTGGAAGCTTCTGTGGCTCACTGCAAGCTTGACCAGCTGCATGTGTTTGCACTGCTAAGTATTGGACCCAGGGTCTCATGCATGACAGGCAGTCATGCTACACTGAGGTATATATACCTCCAGCCCCAGCAGGAACCTTCTCGACAAGCATAACTGAGACTACCAAACAAGACAAGTGTTGTTAAAGTTTGAAATGGTCTAGCACTGTCATCTTCTGACCATAAACTGCCAGACTCACCCAACTCGAGGAAGGTTGTATGCCACTGCTGGGTGCACAGTGCCATGGTCTCTGGCAGGAGGGAGACTGCCAGAAACAGGGGCTCAGCGTGAGGAGGGCCACTCCTGAGGCTGATGATGTCCTGCTTGCCTTTCCAGGTGGCCGAGATGCATGGAGAGCTGATTGAGTTCAATGAGCGTCTACACAGGGCCCTGGTGGCCAAGGAAGCCCTGGTGTCCCAAATGAGGCAGGAGCTGATTGACCTCCGAGGCCCGGTGAGTGCTCCCCACCAGCAAGCAGGTCTGAGCCCTGCCTCTTCACTCTGCCTGCTCTCCGTGTGTGTCCACCAGACTTCTGCTACCCACAGGAATGAGTTATTTCACTCCTGGTGGTGTCAGTGACCTAGAAAGGTACAGGAACCGAATGAGCACACAGCCCTGCTGCACCATGCAGACTGTATTATTAGAGAGTCATGCAGTTGTGTGTGCAGTCATATAGGCGTGTTCTGTGCTCCTCCCTCAGTGCCGTGCTCCTCACTAACTTAGAGCCTCCCTCTGTTTGTCTGTGCTCTGCTGCATGGACAGAACTCCACGGTCAGGAAATAGGCTTGGGTTTGTGTTCTTAACTTATACCCATGGAATCCGCTGATGTGGAGCTTTTCATTGCTTAGTTTTGGTTGTTTTGGTTCAGTAGTTTCCTTTGAGGAGCATCTGTGTAGGTCGAGTCACAGGGCTTTTCCTGCAGGCTATTGACATTTTTGCTCATGTAATTGTTGTTGTGGGGCTGACCTGTGAATTCTGGGATCCCTGCCTTTGTTTTTTCACTAGAGGGTACTAATTCCATCTCCCCAGACACCCCTAGTTAAGAAATGCTTGATTTAGTCGGGTCATTTCCTTGGTTCAATCATTCTGTACCTGATAAAACAACCTGTGATCAGTCGTGTCCTTTAGACATTTACTTTGTTCCCTGCTTTATAACATTTTGAACTGTGATGCTGTCAGTTTGGATGCTGGTCCTTTCATGCATGCCTATCATAGCTTCTTTTTCATTAAACACTTCCTATGCAAAGCACCAAGTTCCAAAGGTTGGCAGGGAAGTAGTGTGCACGCTCAAGTCTTCATTGCCAAGCTCAGCTCTCACCAGCCATCATCGGTTCTATTTCAACATGCCATTTCCTGTTTCCCCTTCTGTGTTATTTGAGTCAAATACTAAGTAGTATTTTCCCTCTGGCCATCCTACTGTATATGTCTAAAAGAAGAAAATGTTATTCTAGCTTGTTTTGCAGTATTTGGTTTATGGCCCTGGGAGGAGGCGTGCTCTTTTCTGAGGGGGGGTGGAGGTGGGATGGGTCTGAGGGATAGGGAAGGTAAGGGGGGAGAGACTTGGGGAAGGGATGGAGGGAAAACTGCAGTTGGGATCTGATGTGTAAGAGACAAATTTGAAAGAAATGGAAAAACCTTTTAAAAATAAGAAACTGTAAATGCTATGCCATCCTACCTCTTATGTCCACCAAACCCTTCACAGCAGCCAGTATCTGTATTCAAATGTCCACCTGTCTCATTTTAAATAGATTCCTAAAATCCGGGATCCACATGAGGCCCACACGATGTCATTTATTGATTGTCTCCTTAGGTTTTTTTCTCATAATTTAAAAATGAAGATAAAAGTACCTACCTCATTGCAACAGTTTTAACAGAGAGCTCAGCTGGGTATTTCCTGGGTTGTGCAGCTGCCCACCATGCTTCTCTGGAGACTGACCGACTCTCCACCTGCAGGAAAACACTAATCCTTTCTTCTTGCCTCAGCCTTTGCCGTCCATCACCCTGCCTTTGGGAATCTGGCTTTTTTTTCCTACATTTTGTCTGTTGGGTCCTCCTCCCTCTCCCTTGCAGTTGATGGACAGCACTGGATTGTTTCCGTCCTGGCATTTTACACTGGTTTCCCTGACGGCATCAGCGGATGGTGCTGTGACTCACCCTCCTGTTGTCATTTTCCTTAAGCTGACGTTGAGTCTGGATGCGTGGGGTTGGTTTCGTTTCACTGGTGGTGTGATTCTGGTTTGACTTTTTCCTGTCAGCTGTCCGGCAAACTCTGCTGTCTCTCTCTTCATGATGGCAGCACCCATCTCTTGTCACCCTCTAGGTCAGTTACTCTGTGTCTCCATCAGTTAGTGGCTCTTGTTCTTGATGCTTCTGTAGCACTGTGAATAAGAAAGGACAATGAGTGGTGAGTCTAGATGTCCAGATGCTGACTTCTGTCTCCCATGAATAGTGCAGGTCTTCATGATACTCCTGTTTCTATTCTAGCCCTGAGTGTTCTAGCTTTCAGGGATGGCTGAAGAGGGGACCATGGGCAGACAGAAAGTGAGCGGTGGCCCATTTCTCAGAATACCCTCAGTTTGAACTTAGGCAGTGCCCTTGTGTGTCCTTTATGCTGAAAGAGTAGATGACTAGTGTCACCGTGAATGACTAGTGTCACTGTGAACACTTTTACAGAAGAAACTTCCACACTTCATTCTTGTTGAGAAGGATGGAGACTGTACAGATTATAACTGCTGATCTGAGGAGCTGGCAGTAACTAAGTGTGTGTTACTTACTGCTTATCTTAATTAGGGTTTCCGTTGCTATGAAGAGACACCATGGCCAAAGCAACTCTTATAAAGGACATTTAATTGGGGCTGGCTTCCAGTTTCAGAGGTTTAGTCCATTATCAAGGTAGGAGCATGGCAGCATCCAGGCAGACATGGTGCAGGAGGTGCCGAGAGTTCTAAAATTTGATCTGAAGGCCATCAGAAGACTGGCTTCTTCAGGCGGCCAGGAGGGTCTCTTCCACACTGGATGGGGTACAGGATCTCTCAAATTCTACTTACACAATGACACACTTGCTCCAACAAGGCCACACCTCCTAATAGTGCCACTTCCCTTGGGCCAAATTTATTCAAATGTCTACACTGCCCAAAGTGTGATGTGCTGCCCTAAGCACGAGTTGTCATTTTCTCCCCACTGTATCTAACGGTGCTACTGGTTGTGGCCCTAATACAACAGAAGACAAAATAGACTTACAGTGAGAAGGGGCAGGGCTCAATCTGATCTTAGAGACTGGATTTTATTTAACAGTTAAAAATGCCAACCTTTTGGACTCTAGGGAAAAAAAAAACCTTATTTTCCTATATGAGTTACTTTTCTCCTTCCTTTGTTAAAATACCTGGATAGGCTAAGGAGATTGCTCAGTGATTAAGAGCACTTGTTGCTCTTACAAAGGACTCAAATTTTGTTCTGAAAATCCACATAGTGCTTTACAAATACCCGTAGCTCCAGTTCCAGGGCATCCAATGCCTTTTGACCTTTGAGGGCACAAAACATGCTCAAAGTGTACATACATACATATAGGCAAAACACTCACACGTGTGAATTAGAATAACAAATCTAAAATGACCTGGATGAAGTAGCTGAGAGGAGGAAAGATTTTCTTGTGCCTCATAGTTAAAGGGGAATGGTCCATCATGGTGGTGTAGGAGAGGCTTATGGCTGAAGTAGTATGAGCTTGAGGTGGCGGGTTACATGGCATAGGCAGTCAGGAGGGACATAGGCTGAGCTATAAACCCCAATCTCCCTCTCCCACCCAGTGGCCTACTCTTTCCTGCTAGACGCCATAGTTCCACAGCTTCTCCAAATAGCCAAGGACCAAACGCTTCCGCACATGGGCCTGTGAGGCTTTCAGCCAAACCATAACACTTACAAACTCAAGCGTCATGACCCTTCACCTCTGCCCCTTCAGTTCACACACTTCAGTTCCTCCTCCGGCCCAGCAGCCTCTGGTGAGGCACATCCTGGGCACAGCACTCTGGGTGGTGTAGACACTCATGGACCCTGGTGAGGCTCAGAGGTCTCACTGTGTGGTGCGGAGCACTCTGCTGACCTTCCTTCCTTCTGGCAGTGTGCACTCAAAGGTTTGTTGTTGCTGGTGCTGTTGTTGTTGCTTATTTAGTTTTTATTTTAAAAGCTTATAAGCTTCTGTTATTGTTTTGATCACACTGACTGTTTTGCCTTGGAGTTAGTTAGAAGGGGCTCTTTGGAAGCATCAAGTTGGAGAAGGATGATGTTCCTAAAAGCAGAGCAGTGATTCCTATGTGTGAGGAGGACTCTGATGGAAAAATATCTATTAGGTAAAAGGCAGCACAGTAGGTTGTCTTTGCTTCAGGACCTTCCACTGCGCTCTTCACAGACCTGGCTATACACAATGTTCCCAGAAGTTCCTTCTCCAGGGACAGGGTTTCTAGGAAGGAATTCACAACTCTTTTCTGAGAAAGGCAGTGGAAAAGCTCTGAAAGTTCCTTATGCTGCAGGTTCCTGATATGTTTCCTATGGATTCATCAAAGGCTGCTGTGCCTCAGGAACATGGCCTGGTCACTGAGTTGTGGGGCCCAAGAAAATGAGGCCACATGTGTGACCCCAGGTCATTGGGGTCAGATAAGATGGTGTTCATTGCCAGGCCCTCCTGCCTCTATTTTGGTAGTCTGCCTGAGGTGTTTGTCCAAACACTGATTCCTGGCCCCTGGGGCCCCATTGAGCAGCCTGGCAGTGAACAGTTCATCTAGCTTCTTCTGCTTCCCTCCTGCTTTCCCTCCCTTCTGCTCTCCTCCCCTCCTCTCCCCGCCAACCCTCCTCCTCACTATTGCTTCTAAGTCTGTGTGCTTCTCTCTCCCTGTTTCTCTCTCCCCTACCTCTCTCTTCCCATGTCTGTCCCTTTTCTCCTGTGTTGCCGTTTCTCTGTCTATCCTCTTTACCTTCCTGAGTGAGTGTGTCGCTTTCTAGAGTCACCTCTCTTTGGCTCTGCCATCTCTGTCTCTGATGTGCATCTGTCTGCTTTGACTGTGCCGTTGTTTGGCATGGACACCAAGATGATTTTATCATCCAGAGCTTGAATGGAACACTCTCAGATGCTAAAGAATAAAATAAAATATGCCTGCCAAACACTGGAGAGATATCTCCTTGTTTGGGGATTTTGGCAAATTTAGAAAGATCCCAGCTTGCCTTATGTTTATTCTTTTTTTTTTCCTGATTAAGTGGCATTCTCTATTTCTACTGTTGAGGAATATCCCTGTTGTTACCAGCATGAACATTGATGCCAAGTGCAAGTCACCCCCGATCCTGGAAGAGCCAAGCTTGCAGCCAGTGCTTGGTGCTCATGCCCTCTAGGGTGCAAGGTTATTTTCTGATTGGAATATGTGCCTCTCTGTGTGTGTGTGTGCGTGCGTGTGGGTATGTATGTGCAC